TGGGAGGGGATAGGGTCTCCCAGCTGTCCGTACTAACTCCAGCCACTTTCTTCCCTACTTCACTCTGCTAAAGAACTGGCTGACGGAAAGTGCCAAGCTCATTGCCCAGTCGGGACAGACGGTGGAGTGGGTCACGCCGCTCGGTCTCCCTATCGTGCAGCCCTACTATCGGTCCAGGTCCACTGTGGTGAGTATCTGGTGTGTGGGACTCATCTACCCCTCCCTCTGCCATGGTGGGGAGCAGGGAGAGGGCAGGTGGGCTTCAAGGCAGCAAGCTAAAGCCCGGCAGGTTGGCATTGCCTGCGGGTGAGCCTGCAGAGCAGGTAGAATTTGTGTGTGCAGGCACGTCCTCCAGCCTTGTCACTCCCTGCAGAGACTGGAGTGTGTGGGTGGGCTGGTGAGGAAGCTCTGCTGCTCCCGTCCCACTCAGGCAGCTGGAGCACGGGCCCGTTCCCCGCACCGAGGAGCCTTCCTCAGGGCTCGCGTGATTCAGTCTTGCTGCTCTCGCCCCCCACGCACTGCTGCACTGACTCACGTCTCCCCAGCCTGTCTCGTCCTCACAGCCGCTCACCTCCAGGAGCCCTTCTCCTAGCCCTTGCAGGGGTGAATCAGTGTATCGCTGGGAAGGGGTGAAGGATGCCTGCCAGCATCCTCAGGAGGGGAAGCAGGCAAGGTGTCACTGAGGAGTGACAGCGCCATGGTGACTGGGATGCCCTGGAAAGGTCCCTGCCCAGGCCCCTTGTTGCAGTTTCCTGCAGAGCAGAGTAGATCGTGGTCGGCGCGATCCCTTCCCCAGAAGTACGGGGCAGTGCTGGGCGCCTTGTGCTGGCTGGGCAGTGCAGTGTGACAGCTGATCCCCTTTCTCTCCCTGCAGCTGAATTGCAGCATGCAGAACTTGAGTGTGAAAAATTCCAACAGCAGCCAGTAAGTATGAAACCACGGTCTTTACTGAGCCCCTGCTGTCCCCAGCCTGTGTTTTGGGGACAAAACCTTCCCATCAATGGAACCTGCCAATGAGTGCCAAAGCTCCTGGTATCCCCCTAAGCCCCAGAAAGCCAGCCGGAGGAGCGGGGCCCTATGCTTGAGCAGAGCCTTGGGGCCCTCCAGGGCTGCCTCCCATCAATCCCAGGTCTTGACTGGCACTGACTCTGTGCTGACACTCTCATCTTTGGCCCTGGAAGTGCTTCAGCTCCTCCCGTCTCCCACTCTGTGCTGCAGGAAGCCTGATACAGTGAAGCAGAAGAACGCCTTCCCACCCAACTTCATCCACTCCCTGGACTCCACGCACATGATGCTTACGGCTCTGCACTGCCTCAGGTAGGGAGCAGGCAGCTGGGACTCTTCCCTGGCTCCGGGACTTGGTCTCTGCTGGGAGAGCGTCGCCAGGGCAAGGCGTGAGGTGTGGGAAGGAGGTTCCCCTGGTGGGTGGGTGATTGGGGTTTCTGGCAGAGAAGGGTTGAGCGGAGGCAACAGGGCAGGGACAGGGAGATCGCGGGGTTAGCCAACTCTCTCTGAAGATCTGCAGGCGCTGTGCGGGCAGTCCCGCTCCTTGCATGGTCCCTGCTTATGTCCCAGCAAGAGGGTCTGCAGGGGGTAGGGGATGTCGCAGAGGGGGGGCTCTCAGCTCTACTTCATGGCACCTTCTGCTGCCTCCCAGGCAGGGTCTGACCTTCGTCTCAGTCCACGATTGCTACTGGACTCACGCGCTCACCGTGGATGTCATGAACCAGGTAAAAGTGTCCTCCCAGGTCACTTGTGAGCAGGGATCTTGCTGATCTGTCCTCTGCGCGCTTGCCAGCCCTTGTCTCCCCTGGGTTTTGCTCCATAGGCTGATTTATTTACCCAGGCAAGGTGAACCTGGGGTGCTTGCTGGCAGTTGCAGCTGGTTTCCTGGTGCCATAGCCCCATCTCCTCCACCCTTCAAGGAGGGTGTCAGGGAGAATCTGTGCCTGTAAATCAGCACCAAACACAATGCCTAGCAGAATCAGTGCCTCTCTCCTGCCCTGGGCTCTTTCCCCTGGAGTGCTGCAAGGGCTGTTGTCCAGTAGATTGATAAATGGGGGTCAGCCTTTGCTTCCCACCTTTCCAGGCTGATTCCCTTCACCCTTGTCTGGCAGCCTCCCCTTCCCACTCTTGCCCGCTGCCTTCCCTGCCCCTTGCTTCTGACCTATCTTGGCTGAGAAGCACTGAGAGGAAGGAGGGGAAAATGGCTGTTAACCTGCGACTCACCATTGCTCCCTGGATCAGATCTGTCGGCAGCAATTTGTGGCTCTGCACAGCGAGAAGATCCTGCAGGATCTGTCCGAGTTCATGCTGGAGAAGTACTGCAGGTATTCCTTGCCTGTTGGTGAACAGCCACCACTCTCCTTCCTGCCCACACAGATTCCCTCTCCCGGGGGTTCTTGTGCCCAGATGCTCAAGGGTTGTGTCATCTGCCTGGGGGTTGCTCTGGAGGGAAGTTGTGCTTCCTTCTTGACTGATGCCCAAATTGCCTTAGACCTCGGTGTGAAAAACAAGGTGTCTGCATCCTTTTGCTGCAGAACTGAAGCAGGGTTTGGTGCTTGAATCCCTCAGTGGGCCTGGGGTGGGCCATAATGTCTGTGCCTTGGGTTCCCCACTGTGAATGAGGCAGTAAGGAGCAGTGAAGACACGTTGGGTCGGCCCAGTGTGTGGTCCTCAGTTACCACCACAGAGCCAGCCAGGCAGCTCAGACCGACCCAATCCTGGGCAGGGTCTGTAGATGCCTCAGTACCTGCCTAGGGCTCCTGCGGCAGGGGCTGAGCTGCTGCTGCTGCAGAGTGTGTAATGTGTTTTGGAAGAGCTGAATCCTGTTGTTAGGGGCCTGCACTGGGGAGCAGAGGAGGGTGCACCTTCTCCCAGAGCTCCCACGTTGATTTGCTTTCCTTCTGGTTCATCCAGCCCCGGCAGAGAGACTAGAGCCCTCTGGCAGAAGAAACTGATGGAGCAGCTGTCAAACGTCCCCAAGACAGGTAGGAGCACAGGACAGGAACTGCAAAGCTCAGGAGCAGTTTGGAGAGAAGGGGAGTGAGATGGGGAGTGGCCCCCAAAATCACTGAGCTCATGAGGTGTCTGAAGTCGAACATTGTGAGGGTCTGGCCAGCTGTGCTAAAGCTGTCCCCTAAGATCAGGTTTTCCAGCCTGTGCTGGACTGCAGAGCCATGGGGCAGTGCCTCAAGACGTTCCCCTGTAGCATCCCTGTGAGCGGTCCCTGCCTTTCCTGGAGCTGAGCCCCTGGGATTTTTCCCAGGTTGACCCAGCTCGTCCCGTCCTCTGTCTTGTTGTTCCTTTCCCGTCTGTCTCCAGCCAAGGCATTTGCCTGGAGATGGGAGTGAGGCACTCAGCATGGTAATTGCCGGGATCTAGATGATATACATGCAATGGGATCAGGGCAATTAGTTTAACTCCTCCTGATCTCTCAGCCCTGCCTCTGCCAGACCATCTGGCTAACCTTTGCAAAACGGAACAGACCAGTGCTCTGTTGCTGTTGAGCAGCTGCCGTGGTCAGCCCCAGAGGTAGCACATCCCGTGGCAGGGATGGCTTGTACCGTGAGGCTGTGCACTCCTCTCTTCCTTCCCTGCCTTGCTGCTGTTACGCTCTTCTGTCTTGCTCTTCCTACCACTGTCCTAGATAAATTTGGAGGGACATCAGTTCCTGGAAGACCTCTAACATCCCTGCTGTCTTGACCTACCCTGCAAAAGGGGCTGAGCTTCTCTCCCAGTTGCCCTATCTCCACCCTGCCCTGACCCTGCTCTCCTCTGACCTCTCCCTCGCTTCCCCCAGGAGAATTCAGCCTGAAGAAGGTGATGGATTCCACCTATTTCTTCAGCTGAGCTCTGGGAGCCAGCGGGGCCCCGGACTACCTCTGGACTACCTGCTGTCTTGACCTACCCTGCAAAAGGGGCTGAGCTTCTCTCCCAGTTGCCCTATCTCCACCCTGCCCTGACCCTGCTCTCCTCTGACCTCTCCCTCGCTTCCCCCAGGAGAATTCAGCCTGAAGAAGGTGATGGATTCCACCTATTTCTTCAGCTGAGCTCTGGGAGCCAGCGGGGCCCCGGACTACCTCTGGACTA